GTAAATACTTTCTCCCATTAATTATAAAGCTTTTAATTATGTTTTATGTGTCCTCTTCAGGAAACATGATATTTAGTGCCACTTTTATCTCATTTAAAACAATTTAACAATTTTATATTTACTTTATATTTTTTAGTAGGACTGATTTTGATCCTTTTTACAGGGGATGGGGAAGTAGGGAAAGAATAACAGAGATGTGTCTGTTTTCAACTCTGTCTTGCTACACAGACTCTATTTATATGACGTTGTCTTCTAAAATATATTGGAAAGTATCTGTATTTAAGTCTATTATTAGTAAACAGTGATTTTTTTAAAAAAATGTAGCTAATTATTGGACAAAAACATATATCATATGTTACTAATGATGTTCTGGAAATGAATTGGAATTCCTAGAACCACTCAAATCATACCTTCTAAGTTATAATCCTAACCACTACCACTGATCCAGAATGCTGGTTCTTTGAAAAAGAAAAAATTATTTAAAACATTTAAAAATAATTTTTCAAAGTTTTATTTAAATGTATTGCTTATTTTGTATTATGAAAGAAAGGCATATGTATTATGACAATTTGAAAATACAGGCATAAAATAGGAGATAAAAAATTATCCCACAAAAAGAAACCTAGATATAATCACTGTTAGAAATGTGGGTTTAGGTTCTTGTTAATGATGAAGTAGGACTTCTCAGGTGGCTCAGTGGTAAAGAACCTGCCTGCCAATGCAGGAGATGTGAGTTCAATCCCTGGGTCAAGAAGATCCCCTGAAGAAGGAATGGCAACCGTCTCCAGTATTCTTGCCTGGAAAATTCCATGGACAGAGAGAAGCCTGGTGGATCACAAAGAGTCAGACACAGCAGGAATGGTGAAGTAGCTTAAAATAACCTAACATTTTCACAGATAATAAAATATAAAATAAACAAACCAAAAAAAATGTTTTAAATGTGTTAAAGAACAAGCAAAAGAAGGCAGATACTGAAGGGAAGTCACCCCTTAAAGAACAGACTCATAATGAATTAGGTCCAGGGTACACAGCATTTCCTCTGATAGATCTGCAAGAGGGAGAAGCAGCTGAAACTCAAGCAACATGCTACAGTATTACTGATCAAGGTGTCAGAGTTTGGGGTTGGAAGTGGGTGTAAATCCAGAAGAGAAACCTAGAAAAAATATGCATATAATCACCCCTCAAATTGTTGGCCAAACTCAGAAGCATGGATCTGTGGAGGAGATTTCAAAGAGCCCTTTGGAAGGAGTCAGTTGGAAGATTCAAAGAACTGAACAGAGGTTTCAGGTGCTGCCCACTGCTGGGGGGACAGAGTTGAGGGTTTGAATCCTAGCAAGGAAAAGACGCTTAGAAAATATCCTCAGCTTTCCATGTGTGTGTCAGTCACTCAGTCATGTCCGACTCTGTGCGACCCCAGGGACTGTAGCCCACCAGGCTCCTCTGTCCACTGCATTTCCCTGGCAATCCCACCAGAAGTGGATTTCCCGGTATATGGAACTTTCCATAGACTTTATAAAAAAAATAAAGCTAAGCTTCCCCAAGTTCAAGAGAAATACATCTGCACTCTAAAACAAAATTCAACACTCTTCAGGGGAAGACAAACATTCAGAATCTAGAAAGCTGGGTTTATAAACCCACAGACCGGCCACATCTGATACAGGTGAAGATACAGAGCAACTGGAACTCTTGAATAGTATGTACTGGTAGAAGTGTTACAAACAGTATACTTTGGAAAAGTGGCATTTTCCAGCACAGTTACGAGTATAAGTCTCTACCCCATGACCCATCAACCTTCTCAAAGGTTTCAGGATTTTAACCTAAGAAATAACTAAATATATGCCCACAAAGAGTCTTATAAAAGAATGTTTGCACATGCATGCCCAATCACTTCAGTGGTATCTGACTCTTTTGTAACCCCATGGATTATAGCCTGCCAAGCTCCTCTGTCTGAGATTTCCCAGGCAGGAATACTGGACTGGTTGCCATCTCCTTCTCCAAGAGACCTTCCCCACCCAAGGATCAAACCTGAGTCTCCTGCTTGGTAGGCAGATTCTTTACCAGTGAGCTGCCTGGAAAGCCCCTACCTATACATAGAAAAGAACTAAAATCATTAACTTGAGACGCCTATTTTTTTGTGATTAGCAGTAACCTTTTGATGTACATGGATTTTTTTTTTTTTCTTCCTCAGCGAAAACTCCTATATATCCTGGCTCCTCCCTTGCCTTTTTGGAACACTCCTCAGAGCTATGTGAAAGGCTGTCTATTGGGCTATATAGTTTTCATAAGGTTCTGGATACAACATAACTCATAACTTTAGGTTGCGCATTTCTCTTCAGTTGACAGTAGCTATGGCACTGCACTCTTCTGCAGAGCAAATGTGAAGCCATTATTACTCAAACATTTGATTAAGTGATCAAAGAAAGCCACTCCATGACTATTACAAAGTCAAAAATGAGATCAACCCATAATCATGTCTAAATATTGACAGAAATCATGTCTAAATACTGACAGAAATCACTGTCTAAATCAATAAAATGACCAAATACCCCCCAAACATTACTAATTCTAGTGTCTGTTGCTTTTACACTAATTACTGATTCAGCCTCAATGCATTCCTCTTGCCTCATCAAGGAGACTTATTAAGGTGTCCAATCACAGACTAGCCTCAACCATCTGAGAGTATCTTACCAACAGAGCAAAACCTTGCTTCCTTGAACTGTCCCCAAAATCACATAACAGAAACCCAAATCCCATAAATAGGTCCTTTCTAACACTCTTATCCAGAACGAATGGTGTGTGTTCTTTCTCATAGCGATAAGCAATAATTCAGCTCATTCCAGATGTGTTCCCAGTGGTCTTTGGCTGGACGTCACTGAACCACATACATGAACATATTCTGTTTTGTAAGTTTGTTCACTTACTGTATCTTGAATGTAGATTTCTATGTCTTCATCATGGCTACAGAAGTTTCTATGACTCCGATATGCAATAATTTTTTTTAACTAAACAGTATTTTTTTGGAAAACAGTTTTTTCTAATATCTCACTGTTATAAGTAGCCCTAATGAGCACTGTGCTAATTAAATCTTTAAGGACCTTCATGATTAGTTCACCAGGAGAGATTCCTTTAAATAAAATTACTGGAATCATTGCCTCAAGAGATATGAAACATAATACTACATTTCACTCTCACCTGAATATAAAACCTTAGGAGCTAGTACTGTAGAACAGTGTTTAAATCCACTTCAAGCAGGCTAGATGTCCATCAATTCTCAGTTTCACTCTTATCAATTCTGTGTTGTGCTGTGTGCCATGCTGAGTCACTCAGTTGTGTCCGACTCTTTGCACCCCCATGGATTGTAGTCCGAGGGCTCCTCTGTCCATGAGGATTCTCCAGGCAAGAATACTGGAGTGAGTTGCCATGCTCTCCTCCATAGGATCTTCCCAAACCAGGGATCGAACCCAGGTCTCCCACATTGCAGGAGAATTCTCCACCTTATCAACTCTGAAGGTCCTTTGTCCTCAACAAATTAGACCTCTCAGCAGCATCTGACACAGATAACTCCCTTACCTGTTTAAACACATTTCTATCTAGTTTCCAGGACACCACATTCACTTGGTTTTCTTCCCATGCCATCGGCCCCCTCCTTCTCAGTCTTCTTTGGTGATCTTCTTCTGCTGGCTCTTCAATAAGGAGAATGCCCTGGGACCTCTGCTTCTTCATCACTCTTTCACAAGGTGACGAACCTTACTCAAGACTTGATGTTCCATTTTCATATTGTGACTTTTATCATTAAACATCTTCCCTGGACCTTGCCACCAAGCACCAGAAACAGACTTCTCTACTGATCTAACATGTCCCCAACAAAATCACTGATCTTCCCAACTTCCCCACCTGACCGAGATCCACCCAGATGATCAGACAAAAAAGGGAGAGGAAAAAAGCTAGGAAGAACCTGGTGGTATGAAAAAGTGACTCAGCAAGAAAAGACAAACAGATTTCAAAGTGAGTACTTTTATGTTCAGTTCTCCTTCCCCTTTTCAAATCAGATAACGAAGTGACGCACTTCTGAGTTTTGTTGTTGTTAATATGCTGTTTTTTTCTGTTCTAATAAAAATAACAGAGTAAGTGTATAAAATACACACTACAAGTTCACTGCTGTGCTTAGTCGTTCAGTCGTGTGGGACTCTTTGCACACTCTTTGTGGGACCCATGTACGGCAGCCCACCAGGCTCCTCTGTCCATGGGATTCTCCAAGCAAGAATACTGGAGTGGGTTGCTATGCCCTCCTTCAGGGGACCATTCCCAACCCAGGGATCGAAACCAGGTCTCCCCAGTCGCAGGGGGATTCTTTACGGTCTGAGCCGCCAGGGAAGCCCAAGAAACCAAAGTGGGTAGCCTATCCCTTCTCCTGGGGATCTTCCCCACCCAGGAATCGAACCCGGGTCTCCTGCACTGCAGGCAGCTTCCAGGGAAGCCCCTGCAAGCTTATTAAGTATCCACAAAATCCCAGGAGTTACTATTCTTTTTTCCAGATGCCGGTCAGTGGTAAACTGAGTCCCAGAGAGGCAGCCAGAGGTACTATTCATACCATACACTGGGATTTTCCTAAAACATTTCACTTCTAACAAAACGAAATGAAACAGAATTCCCCTCCTGAGATACTTCGCAGGCTAGGCCATAAAGCACCAACTCACTGCAGCAAGGCACCACAACGTGTCTGGAAACCATGCGTGACACCTAGTGTGTAACACCGCAAACCCAGGGCTGACTACAACCGAGCCTGGAGCAGCGAATCGAATTCAAATTCGGTGCCCACGCTTGCACACGGTCTGCGCGTGCCTGAGAAGGAGGCAGGGAAGCTTTGTGTTAACACCCGACCCCCAGAGACGCCAGCGTGCCCACAAGTTGTGAGCCCGCGCTCCGGGGATGCTGGAGGGCGCTCTGGGCCCAGGACGCATGCGTGGCCCCGGCAGGCGCGGGGTCAGCGGGGCGCTTACCTGGTGCGCCGCGCGCTCAGGCACAAGACGAGCAGCAGCAGGGCCGCGGCGAGGGCCAGGCCCGGGGAGCCGAGCGACCGCGGCAGCCACGGCTCCGGCCAGAAGCCGCCCATGCCCGCGCTCATGTCTTCCGCCGTCCCGATTGCGCGCAGATCAGGGTAGCCGGGATCTCTCTCCGAGCGGCACGGCCCCGCGACTCTGCAGGGGCCCCGGAGGCTGGCCAGGCCGTGGCGCCGCCTGGATGTCACCGAGGGCCTAGTCTCAAAGTTCCCAGACTCCCCTCCTCCGGCCCACCCCCCCTCACCCACACGCACCGCCCCGCTCGGCCACCGCCTCCCGCCCGGCGCTTCTGGAACGCGGCGCGCCGCCCCCCACCCCCACCCCTCGGGTCCCCGCCCGGGGGTAGGAAGGAAAAAGGGCTAGAGCCGAGGGGAAAGGGGCTAGGGTTTCCCCGGCTGGAGCCGCTAAAGGCCGAGAGAAGGGGATTTCAGTTCTGAGCTGGAAGGGAGTCGCTTGCGTCTGGCATCCTTTAGCCCGCGCCCCCGGCCGGAGGGACCGCGCTGGCCCTCGAAGAGGTTTGGAACTGTGCCCGCTGCGCTTGGGCCCCGGCGACCACATAGAAATCCCCACACGCCTCCCCATCCCCGCCCCCGTCCATCCCGCGCGGTGCCTGCGGGCCGCGCTGCCCTCCGCCCGCCTGGTCTACGCCGCGCTCCTCGGCTCCCTCCCGCGTTTGCTGGGCACCCATGCCAGTCCCAGGGGCCCATAACCGGGGATCTAGATGGGACTCTCCAGGAGCCCTGATGGGGCAAGCCTTCCAGAAGCGAGAAGACGTGTGAAACGAGCTGTTACAAAAGAAGGCTAAGGTACTAACTACAGCAGAAGTGGTACAAGCCCCCACAAGTTGTCCTTAGGACAAGGGAGAAACTTTTGAAAAGATCTCTTCCTGAGTAATGATCATTCACATTGCTTGACACATGTTCATTTACCCTCCACACCAAACTCGGAGCAGTACTTTTTTGTGTGTTAGAGAACATATAGGGCTTCCCATGTGGCTTAGTGGTAAAGAATCTGCCTGACCATGCAGGAGCCTCAGGAGATTTGGGTTCTATCCCTGTGTCCGGAAGATCTCCTGGAGGAGGAAATGGCAACCCATTCTAGGATTCTTGCCTGGAGAATCCCATGGACAGGAACCTGGTGGACTATAGTCCATGGGGTCATAAAGACTCCCACATGACTGAGCAGGTATGCAAGAGAATATATAATGAGGCTCAGTTTAAGGGCTTCCCTGGGGCTCAAACTGTAAAGAGCCTGCCTGCAATGCCAGAGACCCAATCGGATCCCTGGGTTGGAAGATCCCGTGGAGAAGGAAATGGCGACCCACTCCAGTATCTTTGCCAGGAGAATCCCACGCACAGAGGATCTTGGCAGCCTATAGTCCATGGGGTCACAAAGAGCCAGACAGGACTGAGCGACTAACACTTTTAACTTTCAGGTGAAGTAACTTACTCTGGCCACCCAGTTAAGTAATTAATAACCATTCTAACCAGGACTATTCCAGTACCATCATGCTCTTTCCTTTAGGTAAGATTTTATTTCAGTGTTCTCCAGACTGTTACAGTGGCCTCGGAACTGATCTCCATACCTCTGACCTTTGTTTTTTCCAGCCTATCTCCCAGTTGCCACATCCCTACAACACAGACTTAGCCAGCTTTAACCCTGTTCAAAATTCTCATTGGTTGCCTTTGTGATAAATTCATTAATCTTGGATCTGAAATGAGAAGCCCTCCACAATCTGCCTTCATCCATGGTTGGGATAGGTCCGTATACCGAAACGCTTGAGCCACTGTGTCCCTCACAATCAGTCCTTTCACACCTTTGTTTATGACGTTCTCAGCCTGAAAAAGTTTCCTCTCTCCCCTAAATACTAAAATTCTATTATACCTACCTGTCAAGACCCAGCCCAAATACCACTTCCTGGTAGAAATTACTACTAAGTCTTGTAATTAATCTTTCCCTCTTCCAGACTTTTAACATTCTCTGCTTTTCATTCCAGGAATCAAACCCGAGTCTCCTGCGTCTCCTGCATTGTCAGGCAGATTCTTTACCACTGAGCCACCTGGAAAACCCTATATGTTCTCTAACACAATGCTGAAAATTACGTTCCAAGTTTGGTGTGGAGAGTAAATACACACGTGTGAATTTTCACATTTCACATTTTCCCAAGGCAGGTTACTTCTGTCTCACCTGCTATAGAAGTTGAGAACCCGCTCTTAGACAACCTTGTCTGCACCTACACTCTGCCCCTTATCACCCTGGCCCCCAACCCTGGAGTTGAGATGATGTATTGGGTTGGCCAAAAGGTTTCTTCAGTTTTTACGTAAAAATGAAAGAAACATTTTTCATTTTTGCCAAGAACTTTACTGAACAGTGTATTCACTGCTTTGTTCCACTACCTTCTGCCATTTTTCAGCAGCTTTGTAATTCCATCTTCCCAAAACCTTTTATCTTTTTGAGCAAAGAACTGTTCCAGGTGCCTTTTACAGTCTTCCAGGGAATGGAAATTGTTTCTGTTAAGAGAATTTTGTAAAGACTTAAATAAATGGAAAACTGAAGGTACCATGTGTGGTGGATGCATAGGATGAATCAGAGCTTCCCAACTAAGCTTTAATAGCTTTTGCCTGGTCATCAAAAAAACACGTGGTCTTGTGGTATTCTGATGGAAGAGTATGTTGTTTTCTGTCAGTTAATTCCAGACACTTTTCTCTGATGCTACTTTCAGTTTGGTCTAGTTGGGATCAGTACTTGTTGGAATTAATCATTTGATTTTCCAGAAAGAAAGTGAAAGTTGTTCTGTCATGTCCAACTCTTTGCGACCCCATGGACCATACAGACCATGGAATTCTCCAGGTCAGAATACTGGAGTGGGGCAGCCGTTCCCTTAGCCAGAGGATCTCCCCAACCCATGGATCAAACCCAGGTCTCCCACATTGCAGGCAGATTCTTTACCAGATGAGCCACAGGGAAGCCCTTGGTCTTCCAGAATATTAGAAGACTGCCTTCCAATCCCCCATATACATACCATCACCTTCTTTGGATGGAGACCAACCTTTAGAGTGGTTGGTGGTGGTTCATTTCACTTGGTCCACAATCTTTTCTGTCCTATGTTGTTGTACAGTATCTACTTTTCATCCTCTGTCATGATTTGATTTAAAAACAACATGTTTTCATTACATTTAAGTAGAAAATTGCATGCAGAAATACTATCAAGAACTTTTTTTCTGCTTATCTTATGTGGAACCAAAATTCAAAGCAATGAACATAACGAAACTGTTGCAAATGATTTTCAGCGCTTGATCTGGATATTTTGAGTATGTCAGCTATCTCCCACATGACATAAGGTTGATTGTGCTCACTTAATGTCTTGATTTGATCACTATCAACTTCAATTGGTCTTTTGGAGCATGGAGCATCAACCAGTGAGAAATGTCCACTTTTGACCCATTTGATCAGTCTCTGCACTTTATCCATACCCTTCTTAAAATGATAAAGCATAATATATCAATGTTGCTTTTTTCTTCCATCTTCAATATTAAAATGGTTATACAAAAATTCACCCTTTATTTTTAATGCGGGCTGATATTGTTGTCACAATACAATCTAACAAAATTGTTTCTAATGAAGTTAAAGACAACAAAACACCGCTAGAGTCATCTTGCAGGAAAAAAAAAAAATGAACTTTTTGGCTAACCCAATAGTTGGAATAACTTTGCATGTGCCTTGCCCTTAGTTCATGGTCCAGAACTGAATTACTTGTGTTGCTGTCCTTGGCCTTAAAACTGGGAATGTCTGGGCAAGCAGAATTCTAATGTTTTTGAGCTTCTTTATCTTGTACTTTGATTCCAGGGTTTTTTGTACTGCCCCTCCTATCTCCTGTGATAGATTCAGTTTTCCAGGAAATGAGCATACAGTGAGCCAACAGCTATCCTGTCCGCTCCAAAAAAAGCAAATTGGTTTTCATCACTACCTGGCCAGCAGAGTCAGTTTACAGGATGTGATCAATGCCTCGCATTTCTGTATCCACTGAAGAAAAGCCCTCTCACTAATTTTCACAAGAAGCCTCAACTTTTATGGTTCAGTTTTTCATTTGACCCCTGGATGACTCTTATGTTTGAAAAGATAGGTTAAAATGTTCATCATTAGTTTATTGAATGTTTACCATGGGCCAGGCACCATGCTAAACTTTTTATTTTATAGCATTAATAACAGACAGTGCCAGCAGTTAATCACAGTGTCTTAGGTAGGTGGAAGGAGGAAGACTACACTGTCAACCCACTGAATATGGTTGGCAACTGGGTCATCTCCCTGTGATATCGCTATAGTATCTTACTTAGAATGCTTTATGGCAGGGGTTCCCAACCTCCAGGCCTTGGACTGGTACCTCCTGTTAGATCAGTGACAGCATTAAATTAGAAATAAAGTGCACAATAAATGTAATGTGCTTGAATCATCCCCAAACCATCCCCACTCCCTCCCTGGTCCGTGGAAAAATTATCTTCAATGAAACCGGTCCCTTGTGCCAAAAAGTTTGCTGACCACTGCTTTGTGGTATGTACTTAATACATTTTGAATATGTGTTTCTCTTAGGTTTGCCATTTCTGCTTAAAGGGGACTCCATACTGTCAACTGGGGCTTCCCTGGAAACTCAGATGGTGAAGAACCTGCCTGCAGTGCAGGAGACCTGGGTTCAATCCCTGGGTCAGGAACATCCCCTGGAGAAGGGAATGGCAACCCACTCTAGTATTCTTGCCTGAAGAACCCCACAAGACAGGACAGAGGAACCTGACAGGCTACAGTCCATGGGGTTGCAAAGAATCGGACATGACTGAGCGACTACCACACACATACTGTAAACTAACCTGGTTGAAATAAAATCTGAAGACCTTTTTGATTCCCCTTTTGCTTTTGTAACCCAGTGTCAACATCAATATATTCAATCCAGTTCAATTTATTTTATTTCCAAAGCATACCTCAATTTCCATCACTTACTCTGACAGAGATGACTAGTTGACCCACCATATCTGCCCGCTTTTCCTCATAAGGGTCCTCAATTTTTAACTCAGTACATGGCTGTCCATTACAAAGACTGCTTTCTCAGCCTTCCTTGTATAAATAGTTAGATATAACCTTGTGACTGAATTCTCACCAGTATGCAAAGTTTAAGGTGTTACTTCAGACAAGCATCCCTAATAGGCATGGTCAGG